TTGAATACTTAAAATATATTAAAATTAAAAAAAAAAAAAAAAAAAAGAAAACAGGACAGAAGCAACAAAACACCTCATCCTTTGCATACGATTTTAATGAAACCAGTATCTCATCCTGGTTGTTTTCTTACATTGTTTTTGAAAAATGGAAATAATTCCTGCTAACAGGCACAACTAACTGAAAATTAACTGTTCAAGCTCAAATGTTTTCTAAGTGTGCCAAGAACAGACCATAAAATGGGAAAAAAAGAAAGAGCACTAATTACTTTATTTGTCTCCTAAAACTAAACTAACAAGTAAAAGCCTTTAAAGAACACCGGTCAGAAATAGTGATATCAAAGGGAAATACTGCTGATAATCCTGGATTCATTTGCAATGATTTATTTCATATTTTATTGCACAATTTATAAAAGAGAATTGCAGCAATCGGAGCCCTTGCACTGCTACAAGAGATTAAAAGATTTTCTTATCAGACAGCTCAGAATTGTGATGATTCACACCTTCATTATTTCTTGAAACACTCCAGCTTCCTCCAGAAGGTACAGCAAAGGTTTTGCATGACTACATCCCTTAAACTAAACAGTGCTCGTGTCATTTTCCCACGGTGCTCAGAACAAGCTAGGGGTGAAAGAATAACCCTTTTAAGCCAGTTAAACAACCATCATTATTTTAAAATAAATGAAGAGGAGCCGAGTTATTTACGACTCTGTGCTCATGTTTTATGCATGCCTTACCTCGGAGACATTTGATAGCCCCCCACAACAACTTTGTGGGCTCTGATCTTCAACAAGTGTTGGCCAAGGTCACATTGGCCCATTCACACCAAGACAGACGAGATTTGGAGACGCGGTAAAGTAACACGACAAATGGGAAGACACTGGAAAATTATTTTTGTTGCCAGGGTTTCCACACAAGCATAAAACCTGGGTCAGGGAGAACCCTTTCAGTCAAAAGTGAGTGCCAGTAGTTTCTCACCGCCAGGTTAAATCAAGGATACGCCCAGCCTTGCCGTGCAGGGAGGACAGCCAGAAAAATGAGCAACTTGCAAGGAATTTCTTGAAATCAGCAAAGAGGAGCCATCATACCCACAGAGAGTTCTGTGGGATTCCCCAGCCAACCATTAGCACAGACCAGACTGCCCTTTAGGGTCTGCAAAACAGAGGGAAACTCAGACCCAGAGAGTAAGCCCCTGAAATTGTGAGGGGTGGTCCAGGGGAGACCTTTCTGTTTTGCTAACAGGTTTCTGGAGAACAAGAGACCTGAGCAGCAGAGCTTGAGAACCAGCTGTATTCAAATGTCTTGTTCTTCACAACTGCTCCACAGCATCCTCATGTGAAATTATATTTTGCTTCTGTAACAGGTAGCTATTTCTCCAGATGTGGCTTTTACCCGGAACATCAGTCTTGCTTTGGTAAAACCAGGGGAGGACACCCATTACCTTGCAAAGAGTGATGAGGGGCTGTGGTACAAGTCCTGACTTAAGGACTGTGTGTTTTAACCCCACATTGCCTCATTATTAACCTCAAATATGACCCCAAGGAAGTCAAGAAGCACCTCTTTTCTTTTGTGATCTCTCCCACTTAACAATACTGAGAAGAATTTAGCTGGATAGTGGCAGTCACACTGGAGATGTCCAGCCTGATGCCCAGACTCAGGGCTGACATGCTTTCTCCTGCACATAAGTCCTGCAGCAGGAAGGGTGAAAGGTCTCCCTATACACCCTACAACACACAGACATCATCTGTTCAGAAGGCTACAGTTCTGTTTTGAACACAAAATGTGCCAAATTACACATAAATTTGTGTCCACTGGTATTTCTGTTGTAATCTCATTGATTTGTGTGTTTTATGGAGACTTGGAATGAAGCAAAGAAAAACACATCTCTGTATCACCTTCTACCCTGAGAACCCCCAAAAAAGTGACTTCAGTAACTTTCCAAACTCCATTTCAGTGACTTCCAAAACTCCATTTAAAGTTTCTTTTTAACTGTGAGTTTCATGGGTGAGATGTTTAATAGAATGTGACCCCCATAGCTCATTTAGCTTTGTAGACAGTGTATTGTACTTGAGTCTCTCATCCATTCATGCACTTGTATTACCTCATAAAGGTATTTTTTAGAAATAAAACATGAATAGGGAGATTTTTTTTCCCTCAACTTTAGTGATTAGCTGGAGATTAGAATTCAATTGAACAGTTTAGTTAAATATGGGTTTGTGTGTGTTGATATGGCTCCCCATTGTCACTGCAGGTATGAGAGGTTTGGCAGTTTCCCAGCTTGGCTCTCCAGTGGGGGTTCATAGCAGTGCAAAAAGAAGTATCCCACCTTTAAGTAAAATAAAATTAAATGCTTCTCAGAAAATGCTTATTGAAATCTTGCCAGTTTTAAGAGAGAGACATTTGCATGAAACTTATTGTTTGTTCCAAAGCTTCACTTTTTTTTTTTTTTTTTTTTTTTTTTTGACAGAAATGTCTGTTTTTACTTGATTATATATATGCATATATAGTTGGGGTTTGTTCCTCCTTCAAGCTAACTCTGAGGAAACAATATTAGAAGAAGAAATAATTAGGGAAGCCAACAGTCAGCTGCTTGCTCTGAAGAATATTGGGCAGATGACAAACCCACTACAACATTTGGCACACTATTTATGGGCAGGAAATTTTAACAGAGAAATGAGAAATGACACTCTGCAAATCATGCTGAAGTTCTATGAAAGTTTTTTCCTGCTGAAGGAAAACTGAAGGACCGTAATGACAGACAGACAAAAATGAACTTCTGTGCTTTCTCCTTGTCATGATAGTAATTCATAGTTTTCTTAGTGTGAGATATCTCTTTTTCTGAGCAGTGACAACATTTATAAATGGTACTCTAAATGAGAAAGATCTTTGGAATAATCTGTTCCAGGTTAGGCTATCATTACCAATAAAATACTTCTGATTTGCACAAAACATGTAATTTGAGAGGTTTTTTCCCCCTGCTGATGTAACTCCTTTGCTCTTTTAATTCTCAAAACCACAAAAAATGCTCTCAGAAATATTCCCAGCTGCTCAGGTCATGCTCAGCTGTGCTGATACCAGTTTACAGAGAACACATTTAGCACATTAAGTCTTGATTACATGGCAAAATTGGAGAGCCAAACAAACATCTTCTCATGCATTAGAGAACTGCAGAGCTACAGTAAGTCCTGAGGCACAACAGTGGAAGTTCCAATTGCTAAATATATAAAGTAGAGGCAAAAACCCCCAAATCTCCCTCTGTGTCCCCCAGAGAGCAACCAGTACTTGGTGCAGATGGGTGGTGCAGTCACTGCAACTGAGGGATGGCACTGTGACATTTCTCCATCCTCTGCCACAGCTTTGCTCTGCCCCTGGAAGTCCGACCTTGAGCTCAGGAAAGCAGGAGCAGAAAAGACATCTCCATTTCATTAATCCCAGACCAGACTCTGGAGGCATGTGATGAAGGAAATGCAGATGCACCTACAGAGCTCTGCAGCACAACCAAAAATAGGGATCACAGCTGGGGTTATGTTACAAACTCTGCACCAAGAGACCCTTCCTGCCACCATCCAAGCCATGGCAAGGAGGAGCAGTGATGCACATTCAGCTCTGTGTGCCACCAGAAACTTGACTTCACACTCTCATCTCCTCTCTGACCTGACTAACCTAGCAAGTGACAGCCTTGTTATAAATATCCAAGAATCATGAGGTGGTCACTTTCCCACTGTCACAGCTAATTAACTTCTAGGAATAACTATGGGAACTATTTCATTTCACCATCCCAAACATGGGCCTGGAGTGAGTGTGTGCATCTGACTGAATTGGTTCAGAAAAAAACACCCTTCTGTTAAACATCAGGGCAGGTATAAAATACTGTGGGTATGTGCCACATATTCAAGCCTCTGCAATTTGCTAGAAGCAGCACCAAGATTTACAGCACAATTTTCAATCACTTCCATCACCATTTTCAATCTCTTGCACAGGGTGGTACTTGTGGGCAGAGGAGATATCAAAGAGTTCATCTGTGTAAAAGCCTCAAAAAGTGACTGTGTTCCTTAAAAAAAAAAAAAGTGTCTATAAACTGTCGTTTCAGTTTAGAAAAATCCAGTCATAACCTCATAATTAGGAACAGCTAAATTGCTTACTCTTTAGTCAATGGCACAAGGAGAAATTTATTTTGTTTAATAAACTGCTCTTAATGATTACTGTTTGTTTGCTTCCTAAAGCTCAGAGTAATCACGTACTGCAAATGGAGAATGCTGGTGAGGATGTTTGTCTCCCGAGCTTAAATGACAAGAAAATCTCTTCAGTTTTCCAGTTTGAGGGAAGCTTTTCTCCATAGCCCCTCACCATTGATCTGAGAGCCTCCTGCCAGCTCCTGGTCAAAAAGGGGGACCTTGACTTATGGGTGTGGAGGGCTGCCAAGAACATGAAACCAGCACCTATATCTCGGGGACACCAGAAAGCTGTAAACTGGCTGGATACAGAGCAGCAATTGTTTTATAATAATTGTCTACCATACCTGCATCCTGTTCCTGTTCCAGGAGTTTACAATGGATCAGTGTACCCAAAGTGTTTGTACCCAGATGAACCTGTGGCAACCCAGTTCAAAAGATTTTTTTTCCTTTTTTTTTACCTTCATCTGGAATGGCCAAAAAAAAAAAAAAAAAAGGGAATTGGTTCTCCCTTCAAAGAGAGTTTACAAAAAAAGCAACTATCTCTTTGCCGTTCAGCTGATGTGCTGGAGCACAGAAAGGACAGCACAGGTATGAGTGGCAGGAAGGAGGGAGGCCACATCATTCATGATTTCCCTTTTGCAGAAGATTTTGGAGCTGCAGGGTGGCTTTCCAGAGAGCTTTCCAGGAACTGCCAGCTGGAATGCCAATGCAGAGAAGCCATGCTTTGCACAGAGACATATGTGCTCTCACACACATGCATAAAGCCTCTGAACTCACTGCAGGAAAGGTTTCACCCCAACAGCAAGATAAGTAAGGTGTGGAAATTACCTTAATGTAAAATCCATGTGAAGATCAGCCCCTTCGATTTTACCACGGTAGCACGGTGATCCCACTCACAGCTGGGACAAATGCTTTTGCTTCCACTTCACTATCTGGTGGCAAAAGCTATTTTAAATTCATAGACAGAAAAAAATGACAGAGCTGAGAGGCTGAAGTTAGAGAGAGCCAAGAGTAGGAAGTGCTGCACATTGTATCCTAGAAACAGCTTTCTGTTCCTCGGTCCTTTTCAGTTATTCATTGGAGAAGGGAGGTTGGAAGAAGTGGTGCAGCTAAAGTAGATATCAGCTGAATTTTTGCCAAGCGGTCATTAATCCCTAAAATTTCAATCTTATTTTCATTAAAATTTAACAGCAGCGACATGCCCCAAGACATGCCTAGAGAAACACAGCTGAGTTTGAGCTTCAGGAATGTGTTTATGTGTACATGGGTGGGAAAAAACAATAGCTGAATGGAACAGCCTGAGACAATCCCTCACCTACAGTACAAAAGCATGTGATTACATGTGCTGTTTATCTGTAGTTTACACCAAGAAAACACATATGTGAAAGACTGAACACATTATGATTCAGGAAGCATCTCTTCACCCAGATGAAGATGAGGATGGTTTCCTCCAAAGAAAAAAAGAATGGATTGTTTTCCTCTTTGTAAAAGAGAATCTCATCATGATTTAATGGTCCTATGAGAAAGAGTGCTTTGCCTTTGAGAGTCAAACAAAGCTGAGTGAAAATCCAGAAGATTTAAAAGTAACCTTGAAATGATATGCAGATGCTGGTTAAGATGTAGACATGCCTGAAAAAATATCCAGCCTCTCCTTATAAATCCTCTACCTTCTAAAACATATATCAAGCTTGAAATGCAGCAAAATTTCTGCATATCTTTAGTGAAATCTAAAGTGACAAGGAATTCACCTGTTTTCTCTCCCCTTTGGAAGCAAGTCAAAATTGCTTTAGTGAGAGCTGCTAGCATGTTTGCAAGTTTATATCATATGCAGTGGGGAGCCAGTGATTAAAAAGGCAACATTCTTTTGGGGTTTAGCTTTATCCAAGGCTGAACCTTCAAATAGAGATTTCAGTATGTAGGAGGGGAGGAAAATCTAATTGAGGCAAAGGAGAAGACTGTAGCTTGCAAAATTCAGAGCTATTCCATCAAAGATAACTAGATCATCTTTTTCATAGCAGGAATTAGAAGTGACAGATGGTCTTGCTGCTGAACCAAAGGTGTAGAAGTCCTGAGATTCAATCTGTATTTCTGGCTCTGAAACAGATTTCCTGTGCAAGATAGAGGGGAAAAAAAGCAGCATTTCAGTAATGGCCAGTTTCTGCAGACTTCATCTGAAACAGCTATAAACCCTGATTTTTAGAAGAGTGGTCTGCAAGCTCCAGTTTACTTTCAGTGGGAGGGACAATGAAAAGGCACTGTGGAAAAGACAGTTTCTTTCTCACAGATTGGATTAAAAAAAAAAAAAAGCTGAAAATTTAAAAATGCAAAAGCGGTGCCAAATCTTGAAAACTCTGACCAACAGTGTTTCTGTGTGGTGGGTTTACATCTATGAAATAGAGACATTTATCCCCTTTTAAAATTCCTGTGCATCCACAGGAAAATATGACCTCAGACAAGAGAAACAGCAGAGGTAACACCAATGACAATACTTAGAGGTAAGGCACCTTTTACATTTTCAATTACATAAGCCTGCCTTCAATTAAACCTATCAACTTTGTTCACATGAACTGAAATTGCCTATTATGGTGCTGAATTGCATTAAGCATTGAATTTGAATTTTATTTCTGTATGCAGATATATTTTTAGTTGGCTTATGCTTTTCACTCGTTTCTGAAAATGGCAAATTGACTTCACATTTTCACTAACATTAAAATAAATACCACCATAAAACTAGAACTCTCCAGCAACTCCGTGCTTTTGACCAGAAATTAAAGTTTAGCAAAAACATGGATGAAAACAGTGCTGATATTTGCAGCCTCTGTGAAAATCTGCTCAGGTTGTGCTGTACAAGACTCAGAGGTCCCAAAATACTCACACGCAGTCACAGCTGATGGGGTTGAGCAGGACATCCCTGCCCTGACATCTTCCAACACGCTGAGGATGCTGCAGCGCCAAGCAGAGGAGGTGAAAGTGGTTTCTGAGGCACTCTGGTTGCTCCCATCCTGGTGCTTCAGGGGGAGGAGGAGGAGGAGAGCTCCAGCTGACATGGAAAAGGAGTTGGGAGAGGACAAGGCAGCGAGGGGATGGGGGGAGCAGCTCAAACTGCAGAGCAGAGGAATGGAAACCTCCAATGAGGACAAAAGGTCTGTAGAGAGAAGGCAGCAACCGGCACAAGAAAGGTGCAAAATGAGTCAGCTGAGGAAAGATGGCACTGGGAAGAAAGTAAAAAACTAAACAGGAACCTGCACTTCTCTGTCACCATCATGAATCACAAAAAAAACCTCATGGGCTTCTCCATCAAGTTTCCAAATAACCTCCTGGCTGATCAGCCTGTTACCCTAATTGGTAAAGATCTCTTCTTGGCATCTAAATTCTAAAACTGTTAAGGGAGCACAAAGGCATAAATTTAGCTGCAGATGATGGATTGTGTTTTATCATTTTGTTGCATTTTAAAATGGAGCATTTTTTGGGAAAAGATAAGGTTGTGAAATCAAGTTCTTTAAAAATTTAGTCTATGCTAGGATTAGAGGTTCTTGTGCAGATTTAATCTGACATATCAAATGTGTATTTTGACACTGGCTTCATTCTTTAGATATCTGAAAGTTACATGATCCCACATTATCATTTATACTGAAATTTTTTTTTCCTAGTTCATACGTTTTTCTGTATTTTCCAGTGTGAAGACTTTGCACAAATGGCATGTGAAATTCCTAAGACTTATTTGGTGAAAATTAGCTTCTACTGCTGGATTCCTTCTCTTCCACCTTCAAAAAACTTCCATGCACCTTCATATGTTTGCTGAATTCCAAAACAAAAATAAAAACCCAGAACAAAATTTCCCTTATTTATTTTTGCAGCAATTAAAAAAAATCTTTCTATCTGTGCAATTATTTGGAAACAATTCTCTTTGTAAAACAAGTCAAAAATTACACGATAAATGAATGGAAAATAGAAGTAGTCTTCTGCCTCCTCATGACACTTTGCTATATTGTCAGAAAGAAGCTGAGCATTTGCTGCCCTCAAGTGGTGTCCTATTTTTTTTTCCTACGGGCACTTACAATGATGCTTCATCCCTTTAATAGCTTAAGTTCAAATCTGGGTTTTTTTGAAAGAAAATGGAAAGCTTGGAGCTAACAGAACTCAGCTTTGATTCACAAAACATGTGGTTTAAAATGTATAAATTATTTTCCTCTTTAAATATTAGAGAAATCTTTGGCCTTATTTTGGATATGCTTCATCTCTGCTCTACTGCATTGTAGAAAAGGATGCTGACATGCACAACCATCCTAAGTGTGGATTCCAAAAGACCTAAATGTTGTTGATTTTGTGGTTTTGAGTTTTGGACTATGCAAGATAAACTGAAAAATACAGTCTGAGAAAAATGTTATTGCTTAAAAGGGCAATTGTAATGGGGAAAATTGAGTTTGTCATATCTTTATTGAAGATCATATCAAAGTACTGACAATGGGCTAAAAATGAGTCAGGGAAAATGGGACTCTTATTACACTTCAGAAGTGGATTAAAACTGACTCAGGAGCTAATTCAGCTGCAGCTCAGACAGCTGGGTCAGATTCTAACTCAGCTGAAATGAGCAATAAGAATTGTGTCTTCACACTGCATTACAAGAGAAAATACACTCTTTCCAAATATACTCCAAACAGAAACCTTCTGTAACAACCCACATGCCTTGCTGCAATCTTCACCTACATTTCCAAACCAGCACCAATTCCTATTGACTGTGGAGTGTTCAAGAGCTCCCTGGGCTGGAGTCTGTTTTATTCACCCCCTGAGCCCAGGAGCACCAAGGAAGTGCAGAGCTGCCCTGTTCATCCATCAGGCTATTAACCTGTGCCATCAGAGCATCCAGGGCCCGTGTGTGCCAGGGCCCAGGGTGGTGTTTCAGACAGGCATAAAGCAAGCAGATGGTGCCTCAAGGAAAGTACACACTCTTGGTTACAAGGAAATGCAACAATCAAACATAATGAAAAAACTGGGGAATAGGACTGGGACAAAAGGAGTGAGGAGAGCAAGTTCCACATGGTTCCCCATGTCTTTATGCAATAAAAAACATCTGCATATTAACATGAAATAACAGCTCTGGATGCATTTATATTTTCCTCCCTCTCCAATTTTGTTCTAATGTCCCTGATTGATATGTTGCAATCCCATTGTGAAACCAGTAATTTTCTGAAATGTCTGAAAAATAGCAGGTGGGCATGACACGAAAAGGCTAAACACCATCATTTGGGACAGATTCCAAAGGAGATGTATACTGCATGTACTACAGAGAAAAAAAAAGGAAGAGAAAGGGAAAAAGGATGGTAAACAAAGCAGACTTTTCAATTTCCTTCTAAGATCATACATACCCTTAACTAGGAAAGCTGCATCCTCTTGGACTACCACCTGGACAACACTTGCTCCTGCCCCTCAGGAGCCTGGCTGGTGCCAAGGCAATACCAGGGAGGTGTCTTTGCCTTTTTGGGAACCAACAGGAGCTGCAGAGCCTGACACAACCAGCACAGCACACTGAGCAAAACATTTCATTATTGTGGGACTGCTGCTGGTGCTGCAAACTGAGAGCCTCAGCTGCCCCCTAACCCGACTTACCCCTCAAAGCCCAGAGTTCACCCTGGTGGTTGGGCTTGCCTGCTTTTTATAGAGCTCTCTTTCCCCTCAGTTTGTAAAACCATGCCATCTTTTGCACTTTTTGCTTAATCCATGGAGGAGCACACGTCCAGCCTCAGAACACACTTGTCTTCACAGCTGACAAAGTCAATTACACTTTGGGTTTGTTCGGCAATTTTAGCAACTGCCTCTCTTCCATTCCTTCAAATGGACCATAATGAAGCCTAAGCTTTGGTTTACACCAGGAAGAAAAGCTACAGAGATCTCCTATTTCCCTGCATCCTGCCTGGATACCATTTCCCAAAGACTTGTTTGTCTGGGGAAAAGTGCAGCGAGGCACTGCTGCAATAGAAAAGCCCACCATGATATGTGATGGGAAAACTTTGGGGAATTTCATGAAGCAACCAAGTGGGAAAGCTGGAGGTTTTAACACAATGCCTATAATTCCGTCATTTTGTGAAAACATCCAAGCATTTATTCTAAATAAAAGTAAATACCTGCTCTAGACTTAAAAATACTCCATCTTTAAACTCCAATACTTTATGTTCCTATGACAGATTTTAAGATTATATGACTTGCCAAGTAACATAGACCTTGTCTTCATCACACCACACCTGGTTTTCTGTACTAGCAGATGTCATGCAAATATCAAAACATATGTATCAGGAGGAGAATCTAAAATGCCACCAGTAGAAAGATCAGCATAGTTGAGTTCATGAGCTGGAAACAAGAAAATCTATCTCCAGAGCTACTTTCTTGCAAAAAAGCCCTCACAATATGTAAGGACAGTGCTCACAGAGATGTCTGTATCATCCTACTCTATCTGAACTTAAAAAAAGAAATCTGTATTTAATGAGAGGAGTAATCATAGAGTGGTTTGTTTTGCTCTAGTTACTTGGAAGGTATTTCTAAGTGAAATACAGCATGTCTAATTGAGGATGAAGGAGAAAATGGGGATTTCCTTCTGCTGTTAACAATGTTAAGCACAGGACAAGAAACAGAAGACATAGGGAAAACTTGACCTTCTACAGAGGAACATTTCTTCTCCTAAATCCTCCAGTTCCTAATTCAGGCATTGTCAATGCTGTTACCCTGAAATTCTTCAAACTGCATTGCCTGGCACTCACTGCTTTGTAGTCCTGCTTCTGGTTTTGCCATCCCCCAATATTAATTCATTCCTGTGTTGTTTCAACCCTTCTTCTGCTTTAGCAAGGAAGCTACAGAAAACAGTAAGGAAGGAGACTCACTCAATTTTTTCCTGCTATATTGTAAAACTGAAAAGCCCTAAATGGAACAGTTTGATGGAAGAAGCCAAGAAACCAGCTTGTGTGAGCTTAGATGGAGATGAGCAGAACCTGCAGCATCTCTGCCAATAATGTCCCTGGCAAGGAGTGAATATAGCTTCAGAGACTCTGGCTCCTTTGCTATTCCCTAATAAATATATGAGAAGCACAGCACCAATGGAGCCAGGCAGAATATACAGAACAGAATTTATGATTGAACAGGCAAACAAAGCAGCATTTACATTTCTGAGTCTACAAATCTGGTCGAGCACTGGAGCAAGAGTAACAACAGTGAAGCCCATAAACAAAGCTATTCACAGGGAGCAGGGCAGAGAAAAGAAAGGTGGAAATTTTGCTGTGTTGTTGGGAAGAAAGGACATAGAAGATACACACTCTTGCCAGGAGTTAACACAAGGCCAGCCATAAACTGTTGTGACTCTTGTGGCAGAATAGAGGCCTTGGACTAAAAGTTAAACAGCAAAATATATTATGGACCCAAGAACTCACACATCAACACATAACTTGGAGTTGTTAAAAGTTCCTTAATTAAAGGCACATTTGTGGCTCACTTACTCCAGCCAACAGGAGAGGTTCTGGTTTGTAAAGCAGACAGGCGAGATCCAACCCAGGAAAAGGCATGCAGAGATAAACTTGCAAGAAAAAAAATCATTCTCTGAGCACAGACCCTTGCACACATCAAGGTGAAGGACCAGCAGCTGCCTCAGAGTGGAGGTGCTGCTGTACAAAGCACCACTGCACAAGGCAACACAAAAAGCAAGGTGTAAAATCCAGTGCTGCCCACGAGCAACAGGGACAGGGAGCCTAAATATCCTCCTCTGGTCAGAAAAGACAGAGTAAGTCTCCGTGCTGGAAAGGATAGGAAAATTTAAAAGCATGTGACTGGGGCAGAGTAAGGACCGTGTTCTCAACACTGTGCCCAAATATCAGGCAAACAGCAGGAAAGAAAAGTCCAGAGCACCACAAAAAGCAGAAAGGTATTTAAGGTGGACAGTCCTACTTTATACCTTGTCTTCTACTAAATATAATTTTAAGTCTTACTGTTTAATTTTGGAACACAACAGTGGTTCTGGATAAGACACTGAATCAGGTCTATGGTTTAATTTCTTATCTTTTCTATTGTCTTGCAACATGATGTTGGCAGATTATTTTCTTTGCATCACTACTTCACCTCCTAAATTTGGCTATTCTTGAATACTTAGATAAGAGAAATTTCCTGTCTCAGAAAAACTCCCATGAGTTCTTGCAATGCCTGGTATAATGTGACCTTAACCCTAACTTATACCTCAAAGTGCTACTA